GTATATTCGTCGTATAGCGTCGTATTCGTCGTATAGTGTCGTATTCGTCGTATAGTGTCGTATTCGTCGTATAGCTTTTACCAAGAAACTTGAAATGTACGTAGTCAATGTTCTGAGCTATTCGAGGTATTATTCCAAACTTTTCAAAAAAAAATTGTGTACTTCTGGAACTAAGTCCTTTTAAGTTCATAAGGAATTACATTTCTTTTAAAGAAATACTATTCTGATATATGTAGAATTCTAATTTTTTTCTATGCTCATCTTTTTTTTTTATTTTTAAAATTATCATTTTTATACCCGGCGTATAACCCCCACCCATAAATTTGGGTCTCATTTTTTTGTGTTAAAAGTACGCGTTATACGCCGGATCTTACGGTAACTATAAAAACCTTCGTTTTTTACTTTTACAATGTTATTTTAATACGGGTTTAAAAACCCCAATACTAACAGTGATAGTGCGTGCGTGCGTCCGGGCGTGTGTGTGAGAGAGAAGTGATGGGGAGAGAGAGATTTCACATATCTCTGTTTAATTATTATAAATTTTTAAGGGCTGCAACATAAACATAATAATTTAAAAGTCAAAAATTATTTTAATGTTATTACACACATTTGAGCATTAGAACTCCCCTGTAGCTCTTAGTTGTGTGTGTACGTGTTTTATACCTGTATACATTCTATACAAAAAAAATGCTGGATTGTATTCTGATACTTCATAAAAACTGATCTATGAATTCAAAAATATATTTATTTAAATAACTATGTATATTAAAAGATAGGAATTCCATATGATATAAAGATTTAAGTAAATTAGTACATTATCTCAGGTAATTATGCGGGTTTTTAATTTAAGTTGAATGTGTGGTTTTATGTAATAAATATAATTTTCAGAATAACTAAATGCATTAAATATTTCATTTAATATTCCTTGACAGCAGGTACAAATACTAAAGTTTTATTCAACATAGTGGGGGGCTAGAGCAAGGAGGGATCAAATTTTAAGCACTTTTTATCCAAATTGTATCATCACGTGCAATCAGAAAATTTAATAAAGTTTGTTTTTTGCGAAAATTTGCACACACACAAGCTTTCCTTTCCTTTCCTTTCAAACAAAGTTTTTTTAGTTCATTTATTAACTATTTTATTTTCTGCGTATTTGAAATTAAACTTACTCAAAAAACTTTTTATTCATATTTTCTCCAAATATTTCACATGTTATAAATATCTTTAACATAAGATTATTATCTTATATTATCAATAAAAATAGTCTATTTTAAATAATTATAATTCATTACAATGTTTAATTCTTTATCCTTTAAAGTTTTTGAATATTTTTCATATGTACATACAAGGTAAAGGTAAAGAACAAAAAGTTTATCTTTATTTTTCATATAGGTAGATGAAAACAACATACAGAACCTTAAAAATTATTTAGAAACCTTATTTAAATATTCCTAATACTGTATTTAAAAATAAAAAAGACTAAAATGTTTATATTCTATAGATTCCACAAGTATCCTATGCATCTACCAGCGAAGAATTAGATGACTTGTACAAATATCCTTACTTCTTTCGCGTCGTCCCATCAGACAGATTTCAAGTCAAAGTCATTTTTGATATTTTACTTGAATTTGGATGGACATATGTGTCAATGGTGGCTTCAAAGGGAGAATACGGTGAAAATGCTGTTCAAAATATGCAAGATCTAATTCGAAATTCGACGCATGATGGCAAGTTTCTTACAAATTAGTCTTAACTTTGACTCATGATTGAAAAAACGAGTTAATTTTAAATATATGTTACTATAGTTCTAACTTTTTTCTCTACTAAAAATATTTTTAAATCACTTCAAAAATTAGAATTAATTCCCCAAAAATCATAAATAAACTCTTTTATCTTAAATTATATGTTTTACCTTAAGATAATCGTTCTCTTTTCACGTAATTATATTCATAAATCGTGGAATAAATGTAAGTGTATTTGAAATAAATTTTCATCATCCATATTAAATCCACAGATACCCTTTGATAGATAATAGATAAGAAAAAATGCACATAATTTAACATTTTGTGTTGTTTTGAATGAGTGAATATTAACGTTGGACCGTTAAGCTACAACAGGGCATTTGGCAACGGACCACGTAATTTTGAACTATGGTCAAGTGACATGGACGACACGTGAGCTGGCACCCACCTCTCCTAACGACCACACCACACTAAGGGGAGAACGTTTGAGCTCTCGACAGATTTAACGTACATCGCTCCCCTACACGGCTTTGTAATGTTTTAAAATGTGTTTTATTATTATTATATGGTATTTTTTCTTTTGTGACTAAAATTCTGAATTTCCTCGTTATTAGTCAACATTGTCCTTATTAAAATAAATGATTAATATTAATATTTAAAAAATATCATTGTTCTTTAGTTGAAAACTTTTTGAAAATGAAAATGTTCTATTTTTTACTATATTTTTTGCTGTGATTTAGTGCTTTAAATGAGAATTTGAGAGTAAATATTTTTTTTCCAATAGATATTTGCTTTGCGACTATTGAAATCTTGCCAAGAGATCCAGTTCAGGAGCATTATGATTCATTGGTACACCGCTTAGATTTTTACGATAAAGCAAGAGTCGTAATTGTTTTTCTTAATGAAGATAAAATAAGGTAAAGGCCTCTTTAGAGATTAATAAGAATTTGTGATTCCAAAGTTTTTGTCTGTAATATTTATTTATAGCAATTCCGTATTTAAAAAGAATCCTTGCTGCAAATAGATATTTTATGCCTTGAAGAGTTATTTAAAATCCAGTTTTCTCAAATTAAAAAAACTAAATTACTTCTTTACAAAAGTCTTATAAGATCTGTCCTGACTTATGCATCAGGGACTTGGGCATTGACTTTAAGTGACGAGGAAGCTTTGGGAATTTTCGAGAGAAAGATCTAACGCTGCATTCTTGGTGGGATCCAAGTGAATGGATCATGTAGAAGAAGATCTAGCTTACAGCACTACAAAATTTACAAACAACCTGATGCTGTAAAATTTTTCAAATTACAGAAACTTAAATGGGCTGGTTATCTGGCTAGAATGAATGAAGATCGTTGCTGCAATAAAATCTTTCTGGCAAATCCCATGGGAAATAGAACTCGGAGCAGAGCCCCGTTAAGATGGATTGACTGTGTAGAAAAAGACTTAAATACAGTCGGACCTCTATATAACGAAGTCGCTTAATCCCGGGAAAAAGTTCGTTACATGGAAAATTCGTTATACAGAGATTCATCTTTTAATATACTTTATAAACCAATAAAACAAATTATAAATTCATAAACGCTATATATTAAATAAGTAATTATTCACACTTTTTTTTTAAATTACTACATGTTTATTTTGTATATCATGCGGATCAAAAAAAGAAAGAAAGAAAAACTGCAAAGAAAACAGGAAAAAGGAATGTCGAAGAATTCACTTTATCTTCAATATTAAGAAAATAACTTAATACTAAAATTAATGAATTTAAAGGACATTTCATAATTTAATGTATACAAGTAATATTAAACATGCATTATTTTATAATTAGAACACGGGGCACGAGACAACTTCACTGAAGATGAAAGAGGATATCGAAGATGTTTCTAGTGAACTGGGCAATGGGGGTTAAGGGTAGCACTTCTTGGATGAAACGTCCAAAACTCTATTGCTCTCGGCTAGTTAGGATCTAATAAAGCCAATTCAAGATTTATGACCACCATAAAATGTGTTAAAGAGAGAATAACTTGAAATTTTTTCCGAAATACTTTTAAAAAAAGGGAGAACAAAAATTGAATCCCAAAAGAAAAAGTTCGTTTTATAGAAAATGCATTTCGCTATAGGAAGGTTATTTAACGAAGAAAACCTTGAAAGGTTCAATATTCCCCGAAAAAGTTCGCTATATAGAGAAATTCGCAATATAGAGGTTCGTTATATAGAGGTTCGACTGTATTTTAAAGGTCAAAAACTGGAAAACAATTGCCAAAAGTAGAGATACCTGGAGAAAACTTCTGGAGAAGGCCTGAGCCTACTCAAGGCTCTCGAGCCATTGAAGAATTCTTTATTTATCCCTAATATCATATTACATATAATTAATGTTTTTAGTAAGCAATCAAGAAATCTGTAAAAACACATCTACTTTTATTACTTTAAAAGCTAATATTTATACAGAAAAATCCATCTTAAGCTTGTTTTTTAAATAACATTTTCAAAACGGGCACATCTGTTACAAATAAATTTACATGTCATTGAGATGAAATAAATGTAACACAGATTAGTAATTAAGTAGTATTTTAAGTTTTAATAACAATATAAAATCGTGTATGTTGGAATCAGATATGGAAGTACTGGAATACGTCCTAGTCATTTGATGATTTACTATTTATTTCCATATAAGTTATAAAAATTTAACATCAATTTGAAAAAGTAGTTATAATATATTTGAGGTCTTTACCATGATAAATAATCTAGTTTTAGTTTATTTCAGTTAGTTAACACACATTATGGAGAGTGAGAAAGAGAGAGAAATCTCCCTTTACTTGACTATAAATTTTGTGTGTGAATCAGATTTTTTTCGATACCAAATAATTCGCTAGAATTTAATAATAACAATGTAACATCTTTGTAATCTCTTTGGTTTCCTCTTAAAAATATCTCGATTTTTTTCATTTGATAAAAAAAACCGAAAAAAGCAAACAGAACTTCCAATTTAAAAGTGATAAAAATATGTATATTAAGTAGGTATGCAAAAACATTTTAAAGTCAATTCCTACTTAGGTCAACATAGAAAAATTTTATTTCAATTACTTTTTATTAAATAATTACAATTATTAAAAAATGTATATACATATGACAAAATCACAATATTAAGTGGCAAAATAGAAAGCGATTTTCCATTTTTCTTTCTATATATGGTGTTGGACCATCAATTTTGTTTTTTAATACTATTTATTCATTCATAAATCACATTTTAAGAAATTAGGCCATCCCAGGTAGGATTCGAACCCACTCCCTTTGCATGAGGATTACAACGGGCTATCCATTGCGCTACAAAGGCACAACGAGTGGCTTTCTGTTTTATATATGGTGTTGGACTATTGTGTGTGTGTTTAGTAATTAAGTTTAACTAATGAATTAATATTTGAAAAAACTGTATTAACATCAAGTGTCATCCACTACAAATTTTAAAAAATGTATTTGAACTTGAATGGATGAATAGAAAGTATTTTATTAACGATTGAAAATCTGAACAAGATATATATATATATATATATATATATATATATATATATATATATATATATATATATATATATAAAGGGTGTTTTTTTAGAGGTATAGAACTTTAAATTGCAATAAAACAACGATGTATTATTCGATTGACATGAATTTTTTTTTATTCGAAAGGTAATCTTGTGGCATTACATTTTAAATATGATTTCTGGCATAGGACTACCATGGCTGGCTCGAATGTAGTCCAATTTTCGATGACTTTTTCCAACATTTGTGGCCGTATATCGGCAATAACACGGCGAATGTTGTCTTCCGAATGGTCAAGCGTTTGTGGCTTATCCGCATAGACCAATGACTTTACATAGCCCCACAGAAAATAGTCTAGCGGTGTTAAATCACAAGATCTTGGAGGCCAATTCACAGGTCCAAAACGTGAAATTAGGCGATCACCAAACGTGTCTTTCAATAAATCGATGGTGGCACGAGCTGTGTGACATGTTGCGCCGTCTTGTTGGAACCACAGCTCCTGGACATCATGATTGTTCAATTCAGGAATGAAAAAGTTAGTAATCATGGCTCTATACCGATCACCATTGACTGTAACGTTGTGGCCTTCATCGTTTTTGAAGAAGTACGGACCAATGATTCCACCAGCCCATAAAGCACACCAAACAGTCAGTTTTTCTGGATGTAACGATGTTTCGACATACACTTGTGGATTAGCTTCACTCCAGATGTGGCAGTTTTGTTTGTTGACGTAGCCATTCAACCAGAAGTGCGCTTCATCGCTAAACAAAATTCGCTTATGAAAATCGGGAACAACGGCAATCTCGTTTTGGGCCCATTCGACGAATCTACACCTTGCTTGATGATCGTTTTGATGAATTGCCAAACCAAACTGAGAATAAATCATTTGACAGCTATTAAATCGGTTGCCATCTTGAAAAGTAATGCCAACTTAAATTTCTATACCTGGAAAAAAACACTCTTTATATATATATATATATAATATATATATATATATATATATATATATATATATATATATACTCCTGTATACTGCTAATTCTAAATTTACGCCATTTCATTTCTATCTAATAAGAAAATTCTCTACACTAGTTTATATTCAAAATAAATTTTAGGGTGCTTAAGTAAGAGAAATACATGGAAAGCCATTTCTGATTAAAATATTATTTATGATATGTCTCTGAGTATTATACTGATGTTGGAGAGAGAGGGGATTTTTTTTATCTCCTTCATATAAAATTTCAAAATCCTCTTTTTGCTATAATATTACAGAGATCTAAAAATTTATATAAATATTTAAAATCAATATTTAGATTAAATATATTTCCGAAGAATCGAATCAATTAAATAAGATATAAATTATAGGATTAAACTTCGCACTTGAAAAAATATACTTTGTGAAAAAATTACCAAAACTAATTTAAAAATTAAAAGAAGTGTATTCCCAAAAATACAAATTTAAATTAAGTTAACCCGGGAACGGTAGCGTGTCTAACAGTCACCCAGGCTCTGAAGCTTAATTCTGAGAAAACTGTTTATTTGTTACCATGACCTTGCAAGTATATTCCTTTATTCCCATATGATTGCCTTCATAGGAACTAAAATGTATTTATCACATATCTCCTTTTTTGGGAACGTGGCAAGCGCTTCTTACAATTATAAGATACTTGGGGTGACTGAGTTCCCCACGGGACCACTTTTGTTCAAAAATATTTTCTATGAACATGCTACATTTTCCCTCTGTGAATGGCTTAGTGATTTTGATAGCTGTATTGTACGACTCAATATGGTTTATAAGTGTAAATAAAAACAGAAAACAAAAAAGTAAGGAAGAAATAGAGCATCTGAGATATCTATTGGATAAAGTTGAAACTTCGGAACAAAAAATTCATCAAATAAGGAAAGAATATGAGGAAATATTGAATATTAATCTGTGACGGGGCTTTACCATGTTTTTCCTACTAATCCTCTTGGGGAATCTTTGGGACCAGTATTGAGTTATTTCCCAACCAATCCTCTCAAGAAGAAATCTTGATATTCAGATTAGTTAGTAGATTTATAGTGGATGTTTTGTAATTGCGAAGAAGAAGGAGAAAGGAAGCTGAGAAGCGGAACGCCGTGAGCTGATGGTAAGGATTTAAACTTAGAAGTGTAATTATAGAACGGGCTATAGTGAGTCAAAGAAATTAAGGAAGATAGAGATTCACGGGATAACGTTACTGAAAGTTAAGCGGTTAGGATTCCAGGCGCTTATTTACAAGGATTTAGGGGGCTACGTTATATCACTCCTGATTTCCTTCCTAGCGTAAGACTGTCTTTGAATATTTGAATTAATAATAATAAATTGGTTTTATTATGGCTAGCTTGGGTCATCAATCATTACCTCCCACAAATCTAGGCCAAATAGATGAAGAGATGGTACCCCCAGGTAGGGGGCATCACAAATCATGACAGCGAAAGTAAATTTGAGAAAAGCGATGCACATGAAACGTTTGAATCGAAAGGAAGAATTTGCAAATGCAACTTACGAAACTACATCAAAAAAGATATGAAGTCACAAGTGTACTACATGACACACTGTGCTCTGTCAAGAAGACACGAGCAAGAAATAGTTCAACATGCTATTTGTCAATCCTCAAAGTACGATAGCACTTCAATAACTTGAACAAAGCATGAGAGTTTTTTGCCTGCAAATATCATTCCTCTAATGTTAGCAAAAACTGTCTGTGATTTGTTTCCTTTATTAAAGTCACGCACTTTTAAAACAATTTTGTTCAGTTTGATTGGATTTTTTCTCAAATTATCAAAGAAAAATTGAAAAATCCTTAAAAGTATATTTTCCCTTAGTTAAGTTATTTACTGGAATTCAGATATTTATCGTGTATAATAAAAATAATATAAAAACGGATTGGGGGGGGGTGACTCCGTCACCCCGCGTGACCACTAACGCTTGTATCGAGTGCGCGCTTTCTCCCGGGTTAAAAACATAAAGAGTTATTCTTGAAACCATTGATCATATATTAACATAAAGTAGAACGTCGCTTATCCTAATCAATTGGAACCAGGCACCGTTCGGATACGCGATTGTTCGGATAACCGAAAACCGAATGCGATCCATGCAATACATGAAACTGGACACTATACGAATATTGAAAATCATCACATGCGGGAAACGTGCTTGAAGAAAAAGGAAAATAGGTGCAAAATGCCGCAATTTCACCTTTATTGTGGAAAATAATCACTTATTTTTCGCTGTACCATTGCGCAGCTTCATTTTGATCTTTGAAATCAGCCGAACCGCCTAATTTCTCGTTAAGGTATCCGACTACTTGCGACAACTTTTTTTTGAAAAAAAGGAGATATGGAGATCTTTTTGTGATTTTTATATTTATTTAGTATATTTTAAGAAAAAAATTCTAAAATTGGTAAAAGAAAAGAAGTTATTATTATTAAAATGGGGAAAAACTAGTAAAAATGTACGAAAAATTACATAAACGGGGCCCGCTCTGTTCACAAAGATTTTATGAACAAATTCTCAATTTTTCAATTTTGATGTGTTACTTTGTTATTTCTGTTTGAAGTGACCTTCACGATAAAAGATATTTTAATTTTTACAAAAACTAGAGCACTTTATCTAAGTCATTATACGAAATTGCTTTAAAAAAACATTGACTATATTCACATAAAGAACTGCAAATTTTGAAATAAAACAGTGATTGATAAATCTGAAAATCAAAACACTTCTACTGTTATGCAGAACATAAGCAAAAAATTTCAGCTAATTATTTTCAAAACTTTTTGAGCAATCGCGGTCCCCGTTTGAATTTTTCGAAAAAAACACATTTCGAGTAAAACGCATTTTAAAGTTTGACATCTTGTGTAAAGTTATGGCATTTGCTTTTACTAAAACGCTTGTAGTTTTTGTTCTAGTGGAGGGAAAATAAAGTACTTGGTATTGTTATTAAGTTAATAAAATGGTCTATAAAATAAAGTCATAAAAAATTGCCAATTTTTGAAAAAAATCATAGTTTTAGGGTAGTCGGATACCTTAAGTTCCAGAGCTTTTTCGCGCAACGAGAGACCGATATTGGGTCCCCTTTGCACGTTCTTAGTAAAAACCACAAGTAGAGTGTACGATCAAGAACAACATCGTTTGCTTCCCTCAAGGTTGTCTTTTTCTTCGAGCCATCTTCTGAGTCAAGTTTTGACGCACAATTCAAAATGGTTTCTCAATTGTTGTTGTTTTTTATGTCAGAAATTGTTGCCTTTCCAACATTATAAAACTGTGCTAGAGACGCTCCACTTTCTCCCTTCGCGAGACGGTTCAATATTTCAATTTTGTCTCTTATGTTCAAGACGTTGCGCTTCCTTTTTGAATTCGAAGTCACAGAAGATCACAACTCATCATAAGAGCACGTATACACCCCCTCACTTGGAAACAAACTGACCTAATATTCCACGCAGATTTTTACCAATTCACACAACTGAAATTCCCCAAATATCCCTGACCTTGCGTTTACCCTTCACTTTTGGCCTCACGCAAAACAACTGTTCAGCATTGCACTGTTCGAAAACGTATTCATATACAATACATGCAGTTGACAAAAAAAAAAGATGTTTCGAATATGTGACGCTCCGGATAATTAACGTTCAGATAAATGACGTTCTACGGTATTCTGCTCTGTGAGCAGAATAACTGACTTTAAATTTTTCTTTAGAATTATAGCTTTTTTTCTGAGAGTGCGTATACTACAATCTTTATAATACAGTTTGTATTATATGATCCTATTAAGTTAC